CACACACACACACACACACACACACACACACACACACACACACACACACACACACACACACACACACACGAGACAGGCACTAGTGGCTCATGCCCATAATCTCAGCTATTCAGGAGACTGAGACCTGAGGATTGCAGTTCTAAGCCAACCTAGGCAGAAAAGTCCAGGTGAGACTCTTTTTTTTAATCCTCAGATCTCAGTCTCCTGAGTAGCTAGGATCACAGGCTGAACCACCTGTGCCCAGTCCAGTGAGACTCTTATCTCCAATTAACCACTCAAAAACCAGAAGTGGCACTGTGGCTCAAGTGGTGGAGTACTAGCCTTGAGCACAGCGAGGCTAGGGACAGTGCCTAGGCCCTGAGTTCAAGCCTCACAACAGACCAAAAACAAAAACAAAAATCCTTAAAGATTTGAAACACAAATACACACACACGCACACACAAACACAGTGTTAGGTGAAATATAATTTTTTAAAGTAAACTGGAAGTTTTGATCTTTTAATAGGCAAAGAGTAAAAACTTAAAAAGCATTCTAACAAGTAAGTTAAAATATCAGGTAGAGCGCTAGCCTTGAGCTGAAGAGCTGAGGGACAGCACCCAGGCCCAGAGTTCAGGCCCCACGACCAGACCCAAAAAAAGAAAAAATAAATAAAAATCATGTATCTTGAGCAATCATAGCCCCGGAAAATACACATAAATAGCACAATTCACAGTACATAGAGTTGTTCTGGTTTCCAAGCCACAAGAGCCAAATACACACAAAAAAAAGACAGACTTGCAATTGCCCCTGTCCCAAGATGATCTTTTGAAACTAGAAGTTTAGAACAGAAATAAAAGTCGAAAGATCTTACTTTCTAATTTTGACTCTAACATTTTGATGAGAGAAACACTGAAAAAGTCATCACCTGTAGGTCTCAATTATCTCATTTATTTATATGAAGTATTGAAGTCAAGTTTATAAATCAGAAGGAAAAAAAATCACAATATCCAATTACTTGAGGGTCCTATATAGTAATAGTTAAAGGTACAAACCTCTTGTTGTAGCCTTTTAAATTCTATTTCCATTTGTTCAAGTTCTTGTTTGCAGTCCAACAACTGTTCAGTCTTTTCCTCCCTGAAACACAAAAACTTATCAAAGATAAACCTCAATTTTCCCTATTTGCACTAATGTAAATGAATTACCATTACATAATACATAAGCTATTACATTTAGGATTAGTACATTAATAACATACATTAATAACATTTCTTCCAAATGTTTCTTTTTGAATTACTGGATACTTTTTTAACTAAATTTTTTTTCTTTCCCAATCCTGGGGCTTGAACTCAGGACTTGGGAACTATCCTTGAGCTTCTTTTGCTCAAGGCTAGCACTCTACCACTTGAACCACTGTGCCACTTCTGGTTTTTTCTGTTTATGTGGTACTGAGGAATGGAACTCAGGGTTTCATGAATGCTAGGTAAGCACTCTAACACTAAGCCACATTAAGTCTTAACTTAATTTTTGACTGTGGTAATATATAATAAAATTTGCCAATTTAACCACTACTCACTGTACAGTTAAGTAGTGTGACACTGACAAAGTTTTGCCCATTCCTTCATATATACACAGAGAATTAAAAATATATACTGATTAAAAAGTAGCTGGAAACCCATGCTGGTGGCTTATACCTGTAATCCTAGGTACTCAGGAATCTAAGATCTGAGGATCACAGTTCAAAGCCAGCAGGAAAGTCAGTGAGAATTTTTAAAAAAAAGTAGCTGGGTCATGGCTCAAGGGGTAGAACAGTTGCCTAGCAAATTCAAGGTTCTGAGATCAAACTCCAGTAAATGCTGTAATAAAAATGAACAAGTGTGTGTGTGTGTGTGTGTGTATGCATGTATGCACATGTGCCAGTTCTTTGCCTTGAGCTCAGGGCCTGGACACTGTCCCTGAGCCTTTTTTGCCTTTTCATTATTAGTGCTCTATCATTTGAGCCACACTCCATTTCTGGCTTTTTAATGATTAATTGGAGCTACGAGTGTCACAGACTTTCCTACCTGAGCTGGCTTCAAACCGAGATTCTCAAATCTCAGCCTCCTGAGTAGCTAGGATTACAGATGTGAGTCACCATATCTGGCAAACCAATTATTTTTAAAGCATTCAACCAATTACTTCTTAAACATCACCAATTACTTCTTAAACATTATTAAAAATAATGCTAAAAGATATGCATAGTCATAGTAGCAGTATTTACAACAGCTTAAAATGGAAATAATTTGAATGCCCATCATCTGATAAAATGAAAAATTTAAACTATTATTCACCCATAAAAATATTTAGTACATTAACCAATGCCTACTATAACATGGATGAACCTCGAAAACATTATGCTAAATTAAAGAAGTCAATGACAAATCAATATATTATAGGATCCTATTTAAATGAAATGACCAGAATAGACAAAGTCATGTAAAAAAATATTGGTTATTATATGGGCTAAGGGCACAAAGACTAGAGAGGGTTTATTTTGTCTTAAAAATCAAAATGTCTTGAAATTATTGTGCAATGTTTTCATGACTCTATTAATAAACTAAAAGTTACCTAATTATATACTTTAATAGGATGAGTTTTTGGACTGAAGGTGTGGCTCAAGTGGTAGACTGTCAGCTGAGCAAGCAAGCTAAGCAAGCTTGAGTCTGACTTCTAGTAACAGCAAAAAACAAACAAACAAACCTAATTATAGAAAAATAAGATTTAAAAAAAAAAGAATAAATGCTTTATGTGAAAGAAGCTTTCAAAACATGGAAGTGGTAGGAATTTTTTTTTTTTTTTTTTTTGGTCATGGGGCCTGAACTCTGGGCCTGGGCGCTGTCCCTCAGCAGTTCAGCTCAAGGCTAGCACTCTACCACTTGAGCCCCAGTGCCACTTCTGGGGAAAATTACTAAAGAGGGTTTGACAGTGCATAAAAATGAAATTAACAAATTATTTCTTCTATCCAAATCAGAAATTACATTTTTACTCTGAATGTTTCTAAATCAAAAGCAATTATATTCTGTTGCACAACCCAAAAAAGTATAGCTTTCAAATTCTAGTTACAATTATTTATTGTATACTTTTCTAGTGTATATAAAGCAATCTGAATTACTTTTGTCAATCATGATTTCTTTCTAGTAAAGATCTGTCACAGTAATTAGACTAAAAACTAATGTTAGTATAAGAAATCCATGAGAGGCTGGGAAAGTGGCTCAGTGGTAGAGCGCTTGCCTTGCATGCCTGAGGCCCTGGGTTCGATTCCTCAGCACCACATGAGCAAAAAGAAAAAAGCCAGAAGTGGTGCTGTGGCTCAAGTGGTAGAGGGCTAGCCTTGAGCTGAGGGACAGCACCCAGGCCCAGAGTTCAGGCCCCACAACCAGACCTCCCCCCCGCAAAAAAAAAAAGAAATCCATGAATGTAACATTTTCAAGGAACAATCAAGATATTAGATGATACCTGATGAAGTATTAGTGTTAGTTATGAGGAATACTTGCTTTATCTAGCATATTTATTTATTCATTAAAAATTTTTTTTCCATTTTCTAATCAGTATAGTATGAAACCAAATTTTGCCATTCCATCCAAGTTGTTTGGAATTTTAATATACTTCATAGCTAAGTAATTTTTGAGAATTAAATTCTAACATAATGCAAATTGTTAAACAGATTCACAGACATGACTGTAGTTCTAATTGCATGCTTTATCTAAAGACTGGAGAAGATTGTGCTAAATTATATGCAAAGAACTAGTGTTCACTGTTTAGCCTATCCATTAACTGCCAGTCAAACTAATAACAGCAATCTCTTCCCTAATTTTCCTGGTGCAGCTGTTTGTAGAATATCCTGGGCGTGTTCACTTCAATAGACACATAATAATGCAGACATCCACAAATGAAAGCTGTATTTTTGTGTTTTCAAATTTTCCTATAGTATAATATTTCTTCCACCTTGCATATTCAATTTAACTACATTAATCAGTAAGTATAATTCATATATTGTGATTTTTAAATTTAAAATCTACAATCTGAAGCTCAAATTCCTCATAATGTAAAAAATGTTCCTGAAACAAAAATTCTTTGTTCTTCCTAAAATATATGATGCAAGATATCCAGCAGAAAATGGTTATGTTTTTGCTTATGGCTCACTAAGGAATGTCTATGTGTAACATTTATATTTTAGAATTTTAAATTTACATCTTAAAAATTTGAATAATAATTTTATCAAGACTAAATGTGACTAATTTTACTAAGTAGACTTACATATTTCAAATACTTGATATAGAAGATAGACACAAATTAATTTTTTACAAAAATTATTCTTAAATACCAGAGAAATTTAGTCCTATAAAAACAATTTTTTTAAAAAGTAGAACTTATTGATTTATGTCAATGGCTCCCAGTGTTATGAATTTCAAGGAATATAAAAAAATAATAAGCCCAACAATTTGCCAAAGGAAGGATACAATTTTAATAAAAAAATTTTAACACAGAAAGATAGGAAGGATATAAATCTAAAATAAAAGGTATCCTTTAATAGTTGATAAAAATTGGTATTAAGAAAACTTTATATTTCCCTTTTTTTTGTTCTAGTACTGGAGCTTAAACTCAAGATCTTGTAGCTGTCCCTTAGATTTGTCACTAAAAGATGGTACTCTACCATTTGGGCCATAGCTCCATTTATAGTCTCTTGGTACTTAATTGTAAGAGTTTCATGGACTTGTTTGGCTTCAAACTGCTATCATCAGCTCTCAGCTTTCTGAGTTGCTAGGCTTACAGGGGTGAGTCACTCACTTGGTCCCTGGCTTATTTTTCTCATTTTAACAAATACTAGTGAAAATTTAATATAGGTCCACTGACTGAATAAGTCTATAAGCCTAAAAATATTATTAATGTCACTTTTGTGATTACATAAATACAATGAATCTTGAAAACCAGCAACTTACAGTTCCTGCCTAAGCCTTCTTATCTTAGCCTTAGCATCAGCCAGTTCCACTGACAGATGCTGTCGACTTTCTGTTCGCTTCATGCCTGGAGAACCACAGGGTGATTGTGCAGATGAAGAGCCATGGGGGAGAAAATGAAGACCATCTCGCTCTTCAGAGAGTTCTATGATAGTCTAAAAATTACAGAAATAAACACAAAATCACTGTTAGTATTCTATATATCAACAAACATATTATTCACTGGGTCTAAGTATTATAGTATAAAGAATCAAATTCACTGTTCAAAAATATCTTAAACTTTACCATAATATTTAGTTGCTTTTCTTTTTTCTTTTCTTTTCTTTGTGCAGGTCCTGGGGCTTGAACTCAGGGCCTAGGCACTGTTCCTGAGCTTTTATGATCAAGGCTTCTGCTGTACAACTTGAGCTACAGCTCTACTTCCTATGTTTTTGTTGTTAATTGAAGACAAAAATCCTACAGACTTTCCTGCCTGGGCTGGCTTTGAACCTTGATCCTCAGATCTCAGCCTCCTGTGCAGCTAAGGATTACAGGTGTGAGCCACCAGCACCTGGCTTAGCTACCATTTTTTAGTTTCATTCAGTAGTTCGCACATGAACTATTTAGTAGATAGCATAAGAACAAAACTTCATGTTTTTCCCTTTCTGGTTTTTCAACAAAAGAAATCAATCATGACAAAAAAAAGTAGATAGTAACTATTAGAGAAGCATAAAGATTGTTGATACAGGAAAGGAAACAACACTGAGAGTGATTTGTCTACAAGTGTGCTGTCCAATTTAAATAGCCAGTAGTATGGGTGGTTATTTAAAATTTTAAGTTAAAAATTCAGTTCTATGGTTACACCATCCACAATTCAAGTACACAACAACACAGGTGGCTAATGAGTATACTGCTGGACAAACCCAAGACACAAAATCTTACCACCAGGACAGAATTGGACAGTACTACTCTAGAATTTTATAATTAATGAGAAATAACTGCTAGAGAGAATAAGACATCAGAGGTTTAATTTAATCTTTTTTCCGGAGGTAACTGAGGTACTAAGATGGATTCATTTAAGATTACACAATTAACTAATAGCAATGCTGAAACTCCAGGCTAGTCTCAACTCTATATCTCACAATAATCTGCTTTCCATCTCAAAGCTTCCTTTATTCCTTTCTCCAAAGGCCCTCCATGAAGCCTCCTTTTCTTTTTTTTTTCATATAACTGTATTTTAATGAATATTTAACACAAATAATGTATCTCTTACTATCATTCTCTCTGTTCTTCCAATTTTTTTTTCTTTACTGGTAAATTCTCTAAATCTTTTTCTTCCAAATTTCTCAGGCAAACAATTTAACTTCTAGTGTAATTCCAAGTGTTCTACTACTCAACACAAAATGAGTTGGTTACTTCCTTTTTATCATAAACTCATAACCTTTATTTCTCATGAGGTGGTCATTACTTATTTTTTGTTTTGACCATCTACTAGAATTTACCTGTTCATCTTTGGGATATACATTTTAGTACCTGTATCAAGGTATATTGGCTTCCTTGCAACTACTGCTTTTATTGATTCATGCCCATGTTGATAAGCCTCAGAAGGAGCTGGGCAATGGTGACTTACATTTGTAATCTTAGCTATTCAGGAGGCTAAGAACTGAGAATCAGTTTGAAGCCAGATCAGGCAGAAAAATCTAAGAGACTTTTAATCTCCCACTAACCAGCAAAATGTAGGATGGGAGGCATGGCTCAAGTGCACCAGCTCTGAACCCAACAACCAAACACAAGTACAAGGCACTGAGTTCAAACCCTGGTCCTAGCACCAAAAGAAGGAAAAAAGAAAAACAACCACTCCATGACATCAAAAGATGGTTCCACAGTTCCTTTCCTCATATTCATTACTTAATATATGCAGGCTTCTCCAAAAAGAACCAATTTTTTTTTGTGTGACATGTCTCCTTTACTATTCTTGCTCATATGTCACCATATCTACAATTGAAATTTTAATCACCCAATTTTTCTCTTGCTCAAAGAGAACATTTTTAACTACTCCAGATTCCTAGTCAGTCTGGAACAACAAATTGTCCCTTAAGTGTCACTTATATTTTTTATTTTAATAACACTGACAATGTCTCACTTTTTAAAAATGTATATATATATATTTTTTTTGGGTCCGGTTGTGGGGCCTGAACTCTGGGCCTGGGCGCTGTCCCTCAGCTCTTCAGCTAAAGGCTAGTGCTCTACCACTTGAGCCACAGTGCCACTTCCAGCTTTTTTCTTTTTGCTTATGTGGTGCTGAGGAATTTCCTTACTAGAGAGTATTAAGCTTTGATTCTTTTTTGAAAGTATGGCAGTTTGTTGCTGTAACACTTTAAGCATTGATCTTGAAAAAAACAACTGTTCGTTAATATGTGTTTGAAGAATGAACATAATAATATACATAAATGGTAAGGGAAAAAAAAATCAAGTGGTTGCCAGGCGCTGGTGGCTCACACCTGTAATCCTAGCTACTCAGGAGGCTGAGATCTGAGGATCACGGTTCAAAGCCAGCCCAGACAGGAATGTCCATGAGACTCTTATCTCCAATTAACCACCAGAAAACCGGAAGTGGTGCTGTGGCTCAGGTGGTAGAGCGCTAGCCTTGAGCTGAAGAGCTGAGGGACAGTGCCCAAGCCCAGAGTTCAAGCTCCATGACTGACAAAAAAAAATATTCTAAAAATAAAAATAGAGACAGTAAGAAACATAAATTTTAAATATATTAATATTTCAAATTTATTAAAATCTCCTATTTGGTGCTTAGTTAAAAAGAATGGGCTGAAGAAATATCTACAGCTTAAAAAAAAGTTGAAACTTAACTTAAATCAAAACTTGTTTTGCTGAGAGCCAGTGGCTCTTGCCTGTAATCCTAGCGACTCAGGAGTCTGAGATCTGAGAATCACAGTTCAAAGCCAGCCCTGGCAGGAAACTCCATGAGATTTTTTTTTTTTTGGGTCCGGTTGTGGGGCCTGAACTCTGGGCCTGGGTGCTGTCCCTCAGCTCTTCAGCTCAAGGCTAGCACTCTACCACTTGAGCCACAGCGCCACTCCCGGCTTTTTTCTTTTTGCTTATGTGGTGCTAAGGAATCAAAACCAGGGCCTCTTGCATGAAAGGCAAGCGCTCTACCACTGAGTCACCTTCCCAGCCCCTCCATAAGATTCTTATCTCCAATAAACCACTAGAAAACTGGAAGTGGTTTGTGGTTCAAGCGGTAGAGCGCTTGCCTTGAGCTGAAAAGCACAGGGAAAACAACCAGGCCCAAAGTTCAAGCCCCATGACTGACAAAACAAAACAAAACAAAAAAACAAACCTGTTTTAACTTAGCAGGATACAGAATTATTACATTTATATGTTATATACTATATTTAAATGTGTAGTTCTTTTTAATGCATATTGATTTTTTTGGAAGAACAAAGGTTTGAACTCAGGGCTTATTAGGCAAAAGTTGTACCTCTTGAATTATGTTTCTAGCCTTCTTTCTTTTTGGTTATTTTTCAGAAAAGGGACTGGCATTTTTTCTTGGGGTTGGGCTTAAGACTATAATCTTCCCACTCATGCTTCCCATGTAGCTGAAATCACAAGCCCAAGTCACCACATCTGGAATGCTGGTTTGAGATGCGTCTTGCTAACTTTTTGTCCAAGCTGGCCTCTTATCTTGATCCTCTCAATTTCCCTCTCCCAAGTAGCTAGGATTATAGGTACATACCATCATATCTAGTCTCTCATATAATAATTCTGAAAACCTTTTTTCTAATTATCTATTGGTGGCTCAAATTTAAAGAAAAAAATTCCCAAAGAAATGAATTTTAAACAGCTTACAACTTGTTTCTCAAATAGCTGAGAAAGGTATTTATTTTCTCTGTTACAAATATTAATGTAACAAAAATGCTGAACTGGGCAGGATAATATATTCTGGAAGGATTTTCAAACAATCACACTACAGTACTTCATATTCCTTTTATTTTTATTTTTATTTTTTTTTTGGTCCGGTCGTGGGGCCTGAACTCTGGGCCTGGGCGCTGTCCCTCAGCTCTTCAGCTCAAGGCTAGCGCTCTACCACTTGAGCCACAGCTCCACTTCCGGTTTTTTCTTTTTTGCTTATGTGGTGCTGAGGAATCGAACCCAGGGCCTCAGGCATGCAAGGCAAGCGCTCTACCACTGAGCCACCTTCCCAGCCCCATATTCCTTTTAGATTTGCCACAGTCACATAATGACAAGTGTCTTCATCAGTACATGTAAATAAGATAAAAGCAATTTATACATGCCCATCAGTCATATAAAAGCAAAGCAAAGGTTTTTAAAAGTAATTTTTCAGAAGCTGAATGGTCTTATTGCAACATATTATAAAAATTGAAATATAAATCTAAGAATGTTCTAGACCATAGATCCATCAGTAATGACACTAAAGTCAAGTGAAAATACAACATATGTGTACAAATAAAGATAACTTAAAAATTAATACTGTGGGGCTAGGAAGGTAGCTCAGTGGCAGAGTGCTTGTCTCGGATACATGAAGCCCTGGGTTCGATTCCTCAGCACCACATAAGCAGAAAAAAAAAGCCAGAAGTGGCACTATCCTTGAGCTGAATTAAGGACAGTGCCCAGGCCTAGAGTTCAGGCCCCACGACTGGCCAAAAAAAAAGAAAAAAAAATAATACTGTGACTAATTCACTAAGGAACAAGCCTTTGTTTAAACATGAAATATTACCTTTCAAAAATTATACTATATTGTATTATATTGTTATATATAATTGTATAATTATAAAATTATACAATTTTATATTATACATTATATTGCAAGAGTATGTATTATGAGATATTTTATTACAAAGTTGACTTTAATATATAAAAAAATCACATTAAAAATAAAATGATTTAAGTATTTCAGGAAAAGCTGGATACACACTAGGGATTTTTTCCCAATAATTCATCTTTTTCTTTCTTCAGTCTACTAGCCCAGTTTAGAAATTTAATTTTTCTCTTAATTCATTTCCTGTATTTTTTTCTGTTTTGATACCTGAAGTAAAATGGAAAATTCTCATCAAAACTGAAAGGCTCTATAGAGATACGTGTTTAGTTCAGGAAAAAAATCATTAGCAATTTCTTCTATGTAGATTTTCATTGGTCTCAAAAGCAACCATACAAATTCTCATATAAATAATCTCAAAAATGGGTCTCACATGTAAATAGAACAGTAATACTCAGTATCCTCTACATTGAAAATCAACCATACAACTCATGAACGGGGACAGGAGGGAAAAATGGGGAAAGAAGGAATAACATTGTCCAAAAAGAAATGTACTCATTACCTAACTTACAAAACAGTACAAAAAGATGTATGTTCGCTTGAATGGCAGAATACTTTGGTCTGCTTTTAAGAAAACATTAACACTGCATGCACTAAACTCTAAACTGTTCTAAAATCAAAAACTGGTTTGAGAGTGCAAAAAAATTCAGTGTAACTTTGTTCTTTTTACAAAGCAAAGTTCTGTTTTAAAGAGCTTATAATAATTCTCTTTTTACAGATCACACTTCATCATACTACAAAAATTTGAGATCTCTTTAGAACATTTTATTCAGAACACCTGTTATTCTCCTTTTCCTCATACTCATTTTTTTCCAACTTCAAAATGTGGCAATAAAACTACAAAATTAACCTGAAGCAAATTCTTATGGTTTAAAGCAATGGTTTTTCCACTTCCTTCATTTCACAATCTATACTATTGCCAGAACTGTGGGCATAAAATGTGGGGACAACTTGAAAAAATGTAGGAACAAAATTAGAATACTAATTAAAAAAGAAAAAAGAAAACCTAACTGTGTTTTATTTATTAACAATTCGGGGTTCTTATATTTCATTTTTGGTACTGTGGTTCACTAAGAATAAAAGGGAAGAAAAGGTTAAAGGTGGGGAGAGGAAGCAGAAGTAGAAGGGGAAAGGGAAGAGGAAGGGAAGATGAATAGGAAGGGGAAAGGGGAAAGAGAGAAGGGAAAAAGGAAAAAAATTAGGGAGAAAGGGAAGGAAAATTTCCCAATTGGATATCCATGTGGGGTCCACATTTGCAGATTCAATCAAGTGTGAATGAAAATATGTAAGAAAAAACATGTATCTGTACTGAACATGTATAGATTTTTTCTTGTCAATATTCCCTAAGTAATACAAAACAATAACTATCTGCAAGCCATTTACATTGTATATAATGACAGAGTATTTTGTAGAATATGTAATTCTAGAGATTATTTCAAATATATATATTTGTAGGTTGTGTGGTATATACAAACACTATACCATATTATATAAGAGATTTGCCCACTTAAGGCTTTGGGTATTTGTAAGGAGTTTTAGAACAAATCTTCCACAGATACCAAAAAGGGCTGTACTTTATTACCTATCTCTATTCTTATGCATAAGATATCAATTCCAGAAAAATTTCCAAAGTCACTTTATTTTGTTAGAAAGCAAACTTTTATAATACAAACCTTCATAATATAAACTTTTATAATACAAACCTCTGAATGTTCATCTCTCTCGTCTATAAGTCTCTTTAGATGCAATGCCATATTTTTCAATAGTGGTTCTATATCCTCCTGAGACATATCTGACACTTCCATCCATTGCAGATCAAACACATTTTCCTGATTATGCGTTACCTTAAGAGAGGTAAGCAAAGGAGTGAAAAAAACAGCTTCTACTGATTACGTTTTGGTACAATATTAGCTCAATCATTAATTTCATATAGTGAAAAGTCAATATGGTATTTAATGTACAAAAGTACACTCAAAATTAATAAAAACAGAGCTTGCCAGCCTGGAACCCGCCAGAGGCAACCTCTTCCTTGATGTCCCCGAAGGAAGGAGGGAACAGGAACCGGTGCTCCAAAAGAGACTCATCTCCAATGAATCTCCCGCCTGTGTGTCAACCCACGCAGAATATGAAAGCCACACATGAGCTCAAGAACATGCAAAGACTCAGTTTAGAGGCGTCTCATTTTGAACATGGAGACTCGGTCTGTATACAAGATGGATGCCGCTGCCATCGCTGCTGCCATTTAGACCCGAGTTTTTAGGGAAGCTGTCTACCACCCAGACACTTCCCAGCCCATCTCCTTGAGAATTCTCAAGGATGGATGGCTAATTTTACTCAATCATCATCTGGTTTCCCATAGGAGAAAATGCCTCTGCCCCCACCCTGCAGTTCCCTTCCCAAGGCCCCACGTCTGGGGGTGGGGGAGGGGAGAGAAAAAAACAAGAACCAAAAAGCATGAAAATAAGTGAACATAAGCATATTTATATGTGTGTATCACACTATATACAAGTATACATGTGTGTGTATAAATATATGTGTGTATGTATATATATGTATAAATAAATGAATATATGTGTGTGCTTATACATATATGCGTATATGTATAAATGACTGTGTTTATATGTGTATATGCATATATACACATATATGTGTACATATATACATACACGCATACTCACACACACGCATGCACGTACACATACACACAAAAAATTAATGAAAACAAAATTAAAATTATTTTAAATTAAGTGATTTAAAAATGAATATTCATTTTCTCATCAACAAAACATCCTTACAGAAAAGTAGTTCCTGACAACTATTATGAAAGCAACTGGACTTTTTATATTTTTGTGATACTAGGCTTTAAACTCACTTGCTTGGCTACACGATACTATTTAATCCATGTTCCCATCCCTGTTTTGTTTCTATTTTGCCAATAGAAGGACTTTTACTCAGGGCCTGGCACTAAATTAACTTGTTTGCTCACAACTGGTGCTCTGCCACTTGAGTAGCACCTCTAGTCCAACATTTTGTTGGTTAACTGGAGATGGAGTCTCACAACCTTTTATGCCCAGGCTGGCTCCAAATGTTAATTCTCCAGGTCTCAACCTCCTGAGTAGGGACGATTACAGGTGGGAACCTGTAGATACTCAGCTTAAAATAAATTTTAACAAATAGATCGTATTAACTCCAATTATTTGATACATCATTCCCTAGATTTAACTTTCTACAAATGATGTTATTTGTATTCAAGAAAAAATATTCAAAAATATTTTATAGTCATTCATTTAGAAATTATAGGAATGACATAATACGAATTTTACTATCTTACTTTTCTGTAAGAAGTTTTGAATTACAAGCAGTTTTCCATTTTCTGCTATTTCTATAGAGTGATTCACTTTGTGCTATTCTAATAAAGACATACTTTACTTTTCAAAAATCACTCTCTCCCTCAGATAAAAGTAATGAGTACTTTACAGTTAGCACTATGCCATGTATAAAGCACTATAAAGAAAAGACAGTGTTTATTTATATTTGATCTTTATTTGTTCTTATTCCCTTTTTTAAAAATTTATTTTTATTTTTTGTACCTGAATCGACATGAACTCAGAGGCTTATGCTCTCACTTGTCTTCTTCACTAACAGCTGGTGATCTATCATTTGAGTCATGCCTCTAGTTTCTTTCTTCTTGCTTATCTCATGATTTTAAGTATTCTGAGTGACAGACACCCTAGAAACTTCATTAAAAATTATAAAATTTATACATGTCATTACCTCTTGAATATGTGCGGCAACTGCTGCTTTTGTATCAAAATCTAATCCTTGAATTCTTTCAATAAATTCTTCTTTTTTCTGACACTAAAATAAATGAAAACAAAACATTCATTCTTTGAAAAATATCATCCTTAAAATGTTGATATATAACTAACAATCTATCAGCATTGGCTATATTTTGTACAGTACAATAAAGGTTTTGTTCTACATTCAAATTGCCTCTTTCAAGTATTTGCTTAATAAAGAAATAATGATTTAGACGTATTTATTTAAAACAGAAAGGTATTGAAAATCCATACAATTTTTATGTAGGAAAAGTTGTAAAGTGGGAAATTATGACACAACCCATCTGAGGTCAGTACAATATTATTATGCTAACTTTACAGAGAAGTAAAGAATCAAGAACTTGTTTCAGAGAGAATAAGTTACTTGCCAAAAAACACAAGTGAGTCACTGGCAGAATTCGGAACACAGCCAAAATGCTCAGGCAGTCCCTGGCTAACACCAAACAACACAGTCTTTCTTCTTGTTTGAAAAAATTTATGCAATTTTTTACTTCAAGCTTACAATTCATGCTCACATCTTCATCCTATCAATTCTAATAAAAGAAACTCAATTTTGAGGCCTACTTCAATATTTGCAAAGTAATACAATAAATATTTGACTTGTTTCTAACATGAAGTAAATAGGGGCAAAATTTAAGAATGCATATATAAAAATGCACATAATCAAATTAATTCATCGTAAACTTTAAAAATCTTTATGTAAAAATTAAATATACCAAAATGAAAACACAATTTTTCCCTAGTATTAAGTAACAACTTAATATGCATCTTTAATCTCTTCCAAAATCCAACTGCTAGTACAACTGTATTCTTGCAGCTACCAAATGAGAAGTGCATACAAAAAAGACAGCACTGCCTTGTCTAACTCTGATGCATCTCCACAGCCAATTACTGAACTACTAGTGAAGACAATACACTCACGAAAAGAAAAAGTAGCTCTTTGATCATTAAGAAACTAAGCTCTTATTTATAGTCTACTTGTTTACCAAATTATAATACTAAATCACCAGGAATGTGTAATTTCTAGTTATAACTAGAAGTCAAAAGAGTTTCAGGAGAAAGTTAAAAATTAGTTTTAAAACTATTTTTTGCCTTTTAAATATTTAATAGTTCTTGTGAAAACAAGCAGTTAATTATTTTATAATTGTACGTTCAAAGCATATATAAACTAGCTTTTCAGGAATAGTAACCGCAATTTTTTACTTTACCATGTATATAAATGTTGACATAAATAGCTTCTGAGTCAATCAAAATATAGAATGGCAGCTGTGTAAAAGGTAATAACTAAGACTCTCCAAAGAGTTCTCTAATTCAGCTATCTTTGTTTTGTTCCTACCTTTATTTTAAACCAAACAGATTTCTTTTTCTAAGCCTAAGAGCCATTGTTTCTTTACTCCTACTATCTTCAGGAACTTACTCTGCTGAGCATAAAACAAATCAGTAAGAATTCTTCCTTTACCCTTAAAATATATACAATTTCTATTAAATCTCACCTTAATTCAAACTCTAAGAGCTTTAAGAATTCTGAAAGAGGGGCTGGGAAGGTGGCTCAGTGGTAGAGCCCTTGCCTTGCATGCATGAGGCCCTGGGTTTGATTCCTCAGCACCACATAAGCAAAAAAAAAGAAAAAAGCCGGAAGTGGCGCTGGGGCTCAAGTGGTAGAGCGCTAGCCTT